CCAAACTTTTGGTATATCCAATACCTGGGGATTTCAATAGCCATGTAAAGAGATTAATTGACAAAATTATGTGGCAACTTTTTAGCAAATAAGGCAAATTTATATTTGATGATATCATACATGTACATTTAGGATTAAAAAAAATGTTGGGGTACAAAAGTACATGTATGTGTCAAAGACAGTAGGCTTCATCCAAATAAAACAAAACAGACATCTCAGTCTTCAATATGATAACTTTTTTTATCATATGTCAAGGTCAAAATCACCTTAAGCGCACACAATTTGTGATATTGAAATTATTTTGAAGCTCTTCTTTAAAGTCATAAAATAGGTATGGAAAACTGTACTTGACATATTCATCCTTAGCCATCACTCTATTTTTACCATGATGATAAAAGTTAGTATTTTAGTTGAAATATAAATATCACAATGCAGAAATAATGATTTTCTAACAGATTGTCCCTACCTCCTTTGGGGAATACATGTAACCAGAAATAAACATATTTTTTTTCTACCGCTGTTTTACGACTTAAGGTACATGTATGACAAATGACAATACATGTAGATACAAATAACAATTATCTGTGCCATGCTGCCCATTATAGGTATAATGACAAATGACAAACAAGGGACATCAAGTTAAGTTGACATATATATTTCATAGTATAGTTTCTATGTAATAAATTAACAGTTTTTTTTTAGACTTTGGACAATAAAGAGCTTGACATATTGTATAGACAACTGTCTTTTGAATACTGTCCATTCTATCTAGATGTCTTTTGGTTATTTCAATGTGTTGTTAGATTGCAGACTAATGAACATATATACCCCACTTCTCCTTTTATTCATATATAAAATAAATGGGGAATGTGTCCATGGGACACAGATGATGCCCCACTTGTATATCATATAAAGTTATAAAGGGACATAACTGAAGAATGGTAAAAGTGACGCTACCCAAATTTAAACTTGATGTGAGTTTTGTAGTAATTAGTATTGTGTATAAGTTTGAGGCCAACTTAAGTTAGAGAACGGAAACAAAAAAATCAGCAATTTTTCCATTTGTAAAGGGGCATAACTCTAGAACAGTAAATGTGACACCACCAAAATTCAACCTTGATCTGTATTTTCTGGTAATAAGCATTGTGTATAAGTTTCATAACATTTAATTGAGGTAAACTTAAGTTAGAGGACAGAAACAAAAAATTGCTGAAATTTTTCCATTTGTAAACGGGCATAACTCTTGATTGGTTAAAGTGACACCACCAAAATTCAAAGTTGATCTGTATTTTGTGGTAATAAGCATTGTTTATAAGTTTCATAACATTTGGTTGAGGCAAACTAAAGTAAGGAAACGGAAACCAACTTTGGCACGTACAGACATACAGATGGACAAAGATAAAAGTTCATGCCCCCTCTGCTACGGCGGGGGCATAAAAAAGTAAATGTATTTTATTCATCCTACTACAGTCTGTGCCAAACTGTTGTAGCGATTGCCTGACCGAAAAAGAAATTTGACCTTTTCTACTATATTTTCAACTAAAAAATCCAAAAATTTCTGTCAGACCGAATGAATTTTTGTTTGACATTTTGTTGGTGATACACTGCTACTGTCAAATCCAGGGGGTTGCATTTTTTTTAAAGGACATCATTCATACAATGCAGATTCTTAAAATTCTATTTGCAATGTAAGGAATTACCAAAGATAAGTCGATATCTATTCTAGGATTTCTGGGTTAGTTTATTCTGTACACTTGTTTTTGCAATTCCTTCTTAAATCACTTTTTTGTCCAAAATACACTATAACATGCACAAGGTCATTTGTACAATGTATAATTTTCTTGTTTGAATTTCATTACATTTGTCATTTCCTGGCTTTTTAAAACTTGCTTTGCTAATTGTTCATTGCATTACTGTGATCTATAGCTGTCACATTGGCAATGATACCACATCTTCTTATTTTAAGATATAATTTACATATGTATATTGGAAAAGGGTACAACATTTCTGTATGATGACATGATTTAAAATTAAATCATAGTGATACGTGTCTTTTTTTCTCATTAAGATAAAATATTTAATGTACATGTATATATGTACAATCCACGTTCATTTTCTATATATATATATAGAGATTACTCTATCTATATATTACATTATACATATATTTATAAACAGGTTAACTCCTAACTATCTTACTGCCTGTCGATACTTTTATTTTGGCATTGCACAAGTCATGTCTACTTTGACTGTCCATGACATTAAAACACTAAATCCCTGGGATGTGTTTTATTTGATTTTAGTCTCTGATGCATGATTTTTTATTATTACCGGTATATGTAACTGTTTTTGGCTTTTAACTAGCTTTCAGTAACTGTGAGTACTCTCAAATCGTACTTTCGCGTTAATTTGACCTGTTGATACAATTTGTAATGTATTTTTGTTATTTAATGAATTATTCAGTGTTATATCTAGTCTCACTATTTTTAATATATACCACCTTTGATAAGTGTTTAGTATAACGATAAATTTTCACTTTTGTTCTCGTACTAGGAACAACTAAATTATTTTTATTTGTCTGTGTACTTTATCTTATTTGGCGGCATTTTGTCCAAGGTTATGGTTGTTGTTCTGTATTGTTTTACATCTTAACCTTCTTGTTTTATTAATTTTGTATTTACATTGTGTCATAGATCAAATTTATTCCTTCAGTGTATGTTCACTTGTTTTTGTTAATATGTCTTTGGATTGAGTTGAGCCATTTCAATTATTGATATTTTATAGTGTGTCTTTCAATGTTGTGATGTTACACTTTTGTTTCAGGTAGGGTGAAGGTTGGCGCCTATTAAAACATTTAAACCCGCTGCATTTGTTTGCACCTGTCCTAAGTCAGGAACCTGATGTTCAGCGGTTGTCATTTGTTGATGTGGTTCATAAGTGTTTCTGGTTTCTCATTTTTTATATAGATTAGACCATTGGTTTTCCTGTTTGAATGGTTTTACACTAGTCATTTTTGGGGCCCTTTATAGCTTGCTGTTGGGTGTGAGCCAAGGCTCCGTGTTGAAGGCTGTTCTTTGACCTATAATGGTTTACTTTTACAAATTGTGACTTGGATGGAGTGTTGTCTCATTGGCACTCAGACCACATCTTCTTATATCTATGTTTATGAACATTTTACATCTGTTACCCATATTTCTGGTTATATCAATGTGACTTCAGTTCAAACTGATAAGTGTCTTATTTTTAATGAGATTAAGTATGAATTTTTGATTTTATCAACATTATACATGTACTTAGGTAATCAACATTCCTGATTACATAATTTTTTTATTTATTATGATGTGATTTTAACTGTAACTGATGTATATCTTTTCATTAAATAAGATCAAATGTGATTTTTTTAAATTTATCAAGGATATATTTTTGTGACTTACTTAAAAGAATTTCATGTACAAATGTATATTGTAATGAGCAGGAAAATTAAAGATTTCCTGATTATTAGCCTTTCTCTGTTTCAATATCCTGTTTTAAGAATAAACTATGATTGTGTCTATACCCTATTGAGATCATTAGCATTTCAGTTCATAGTCTCTACTAAGTGTAGTTACTCTATATATTTATTCAGCAAGGTTAGGGGGATAAAAAAAGTCTGACCTATGTCAAAAGTTGAAAAACTATGTCAGTCCTACTTATACCAGGTCTGGAAAATAACATAAGTACAAATGTATTGCATATTCAATGATATTGCATCATTTTCTTTTCATTCAAACATGTCAAAATGAACATCAAACAGTTGTATGGGGAAAAGAAGCACAGGTCTACAAATATATGTACTGCATTTTGGACATGTACTTTTACAGACAGTATATATTGAGTTGCAACATTAATTTTATCACTGTCAAAGAAAAAAATCCTTGACCCAAGACCATTATAAAAATTGTACACTAAGTACATGCATGTATGTACATGTATACATTAAAAAAAATAAATGTGGATAGTGTCCACATGTGGACACAGATGATGCCCCCGCTTGCATATCATATAGTTATAAAGGGACATAACTGAAGAACGGTAAAAGTGACGCTACCCAATATTGAACTTGATCTGAGTTTTGTGGTAATAAGCATTGTGTGTAAGTCTCATAACATTTGGTTGAGGCTAACTTAAGTAGAGAACAGAAACTAAAAATTCAGCAATTTTTCTATTTGTAAACACGCATAACTCTAGAACGGTTGTGTATAAGTTTTATAACATTTGGTTGAGACGAACTAAAGTTAGAGAACGGAAACGAAAAATTCAGCAATTTTTATGTTTATAAAGGGACATAACTCAAGAATGGTAAAAGTGTCGCCACTAAATTTTGTACTTAATCTGTATTATGTACTAATAAGCATTGTGTTTAAGTGTCATAACATTTGGTTGAGGAAAACTTTAGTAAGAGAACAGAGACTAAAAATTTTGCAATTTTTCCATTTATAACATTTGGTTGAGGCAAACTCAAGTTAGAGAACGGAAAGCAATTTTGGGATGTACGTACATACGTACAGACGGACAAGGGTAAAACTTAATGCCCCCACCGCTACGGCGGGGGCATAATAAAGTAATTTTATGTAATGATTTTAGTATTATAAACATGATAAAAATGCAATGTATCTTCTAAGTTTCCCTTTTTTGGTTTGGAGACAAAAAAAATCATTTTGTTTTCTTATTTTTTCAGTATATTCATCCAACAATATTAAAACTGAGCTACAAATGTAGCACTTGAGGCATTTATGAAATCACATAGTACAAAATGTACATGTAAAAATGTATCTAATAAATATAAATCAATAGATGTGTATAGACTTGTGTTCTGCCTCCTTTAAAATAAAACTTTCATGTACCTAACTGACCTTCAAACAATTAGGCTGACTTTTTATATGTAACGTGATCATGACATGCATTTTGTAAATACAAATGTGTGTGTGTTTATATTTTGACAATATTTAAATTATACAAACCCCCTTCTTATAACGCAGACTGACACTTCTCTTGAGGGTTCCACCTTTGACAACATCATCTTGGATCTCTATTTTACCACCATCCGATGCTGGCCTCACACTCAGTTCTATAAGTTCTGGTATTGGTTGAACACTGATACACAAAATATCACCCGACTTCTGGATGATTTCTACAACTTCTTCCCTTGTCATGGTCTGAACATTGACACCATTGACTTCTACTAAACGATCACCAGGAATGAGTCCAGTTTGTGGAGCTTTTGGTCCACTGCCTGGTTCAGCAAATATTACAAAGTGTTTGGTCTCTTCATCACCACCACCCTTTTCTGTTATTATCCCCTTCCTCAGACTGAATCCAAACCCACCTGTTGGCTGTCTCTGTAATACAAGTTCACGGATGCGTGGTGGTTTTGGAGGAATAATATCAGGCAGCTTGAGTTTGGCATTGAAAGACTTCTCATGTGAAGTTTCTGGTGGAGATTTAGGTGGTGATGTTGGAAGCTGTGGTGAAGATTCACCAGTGCCATTAATGACAGAATGCTTAATTTCACCATTTTGTTCACCAACAATATGAGCATTCAGACAATTGCTGATTGTATTCTCCTGTAGTTTCTGGGGATCAGATGTCACAGACTGGGGGTTGCTTGATTTGGCTTTCAAAATACTTTTTGGTTTTGGTGCTGTTGTTGGAGGAAACTTTCTTGGTTCTGGAACTGGTCTGACTGATTGTGGTTTTGGTAATTCTTCCACGCTTGGACTTTTATGACCTCCTGAACTTATACTGCTGTCACTACTGTCTCTAGGTACACCCTCCTCTTGGGGCGAGCTCTTACGGATTGATCTTTTTTTATCACGATCACTTACACGCCTGAATATACCCTTCTTAACTTCATCAAGTCTAGACATTTCTTCTTGGGTCATTGGTTCTCTTTGCTTTTCCTTTTTTTCTCGTTCCTTCTTTTCTTTTTTCTCCTTTTTCTTTTCATCTTTTTCCTTCTTGTCCTTCTGATCCTTATCTTTACTTTTGTGACCAAACCTGCTGAACATTTTGACAAGTACAATCTATCCGTGCAGACTTAAAAAATAAATATCGTATACGATAAGGATTTAACAGTAAAATAAAGGAAATGTCCAGGCTATATTGTGATGTTCCGGTGGCAGAGTACGAGTTTTCTGCCCTTGAAACTAACAATTCACTCGATATTGGATTTGTGCATGATATGCATACTAATATAAACTGTATGTCCAATGGTTAAACACCTGTCATTCGATTATAAGTGGGCAAACAACATATTATCATCTGTCTAAAGTGTAACTTGTCCAGCGAAAACGGCAAAATGGCCACTCAGTGAAATAAATAACTTCCGGTATCCTAATCGGGACCATTTCAAAGTACGCATCAGTCAGATATATCTGAATACCTTTTCTGTACTAATATTGTGGCCCATAATGTTCCACAATTAAGTGTTTAACATATATGTGTATTCGATAGAACTTCAAATCAAATTGTATTTCATGATAAATGTTTTAAAATAAATGTTATCCTATTTATTTTTTTCAATTATAGACTCCTCGGTGCCGGAAAGTTTCAGGCTATTGATTATTGGTGAGACTGTTAATCTTAGGTAGTAAATTGTGCCGCTAGGTGCTTTACCTTCATTGTGTATAAACAGAACACTTTTTTTTTATTGATAACAAAATGATAATGTGTACTGAACACCAATAACATCAAGAATAATTATAATTATTAGATTGAAATCTGTGTGCTTGCTTGGCGGTGCTAAATTAAAACTTTAGAACACAAACAATAAGCATGTTCACTTGATTCTAATTGGCCTTGTCAAGTTGAGCCAAAGATATATTTTGAAAAAAGTTAACAAAACAGGACAGATAAAAAGCTTTGCCAGTAACATGTGTCACATGAGCTAAAGTGACTCTAAGTTACAAAAGAGTGACGAAAGATACCAAAGGGACATTCAAAATCATCAGGCGAAAATTAACCGACAACGTCATGGCAAAAAATATCTAACTAAGTAAGACATCAGGTGACTTTGGAGACGTAGCTAGCCGCCATTTTATGTCATTTTGTCCCATATAACATGCATAGGTGCTTCAATAAAGTTCAATTTTCTCATTAATCTGACCCGTTTTCTAACTTTTGAAGCTATATCCTTGGTATTCGAACATAATTCTACCTAAAAAGGTTGGTTCTGACAGTTATTTTTTATTAGATTACGCCCCTGGAGATTCGTAAAAATCGTACTTTTTCTCGTCATTTCCCCGCTGACTCAATGGTAAATCTAGCGCCCCCATGTCTACTTGTACATCAAATTCACAAATTCCGTAGATAAAAGTAATACTTTGCAGCTATATTGAAAATATCAACACATATATCTAGCAAAAAAGGCTACTTTTAACAATTTGAATAGAGGGGAAATTACGTCCCACATCATCGATTTAAAAAGGGGAATATTTCGGGATTTTTCAAATGGCGGATGTGTTTGGAAGGGTAAGCGGACAGAAAGTCACAATTTTGATAGGACAAAAAGTCACAGGACAACAAGTTACAAATAATTTGTTGACAATTATATGAATATATAATAGAAAGATCTTGAAATATTTACTTTTTATTACATATATTCATTTTACAGTTTAGGAAATTGTTCATTAGCCTTGATAAATGAAGATTTGTTAAATTTTAATCATGCAAAGGATATATTTCTTGGCACCATGAAGTGGTTTAAGTACCAAGCCACTTTGATATTTTGTTTTTCTTAACAATTATTTGATCATTATGGACATTTCTTAATAAATTTTGTAAATTTTGTTTACAAAAATGGTTTATATATACAATAGTTCAAGAAAAATACAAAAATATTTTTTTTGAAAATAAGTGTTTTCTTATTCAAAGAAAATAATCTGAAAACTGAATTGTGGCTTTTTGTCCTGTGACTTTTTGTCCGTGATTTTTTGTCTGTTACTTTTTGTCCCGTGACTTTCTGTCCTACATTCGTTTGGAAGTATCGCATGTATTTTTATGAATCTTGTATTTTTCATGCAGATGATTTGTGCTGTTTCTGTTATTTTCTTCGTTGATATTCTGATGTTTGATTTCTAAATTTTTTGATATAAAATAAATGATTTCAAGTGTGAAGTGAAAGAATAGTTGTAACATTAAATATTCCCCCCCCCCCCTGAATATATAATGAAATGACAATATTTCACTATGAATTAGTGTCCACGGACAATATTTTATATAAAATTTTGTCCGACGAACAATATTCCATTGAGAACAATATGTTCACTATGAAATACTGTCCATGAAAACACTTCTCAATCACATTATTACAAAATTAAGTACACAAGAATGCAGCATGCACATTTTTATATTTATATAACTGAAATTATTTTGTAAAGCAAGTATACATAACTCTTTCAAGTTTATCTCTATGAATTACAAGATTTTTTTTGTAACATCATTTGTTTTCTTCTCAAAACATTTGGAATAAATTTCATTATTTTGTAAACAAAATGAATTAGCCTTTCTTCTGATTAGTCTTTTCTGATTTTCAGAAATTCCCTCCGGTACAACTCTGTGACTGAGATATTCGAAAAGTGTTTTGTATTCCTTACCATCCATGATGAGCAAAAGTAGTTTTCTGTTTATATCTGTATCTATATATCAATTTGTGTTTATTTGTTATTATCAATCAAACACTTGATATCATTATTCGACATGATATATGTTGATAACCTCCCCTTCATGAGACAAAATTTCATGACAATCTGAAATATTGTCTCACTACAACAAAATATTACGTCCCTTTATCAGACAACATTTCATAATATTCATCTGTGAAATATTGTCTATATACAGACAAAATTTCACAATGAAAATTTGTCCTTCTCTGGACATTTTTTCATAGATAAGGACAATATTTCATGATACATAGTCATGAAATATTGTCTTGGTGGACAATATTTTATAGGACAATGTTTTGCTTTACACCGTTACCACTGAAATTTATAAGAAAAATAATTTTTTAAAGATTTTTTCCCTTTTTTCTGTATAATTTATAATTATATAGAAAAATAATATATTTTCTTTTTATAGAAAAAAATATTTTCGTCTCGAGAGAAATTTAAAAAAAAACTATGCACAACAATAGATAAATGCTCTGTACCTATTAAAGTAAATGTCCCTTTAAAGTTTCTATGACCAATATGACCAATATACGAACAGGTTATCCAGATTTAAGTTATAATGTTACATAACAACACATTGTCAGGAAATGTAAAGGAATCGTGTCAAACCAAAAGCCATCAGGTGACATCAACATCCTGTGTACACATGTATTTCAAGAGTTTAGTTTTAGTGATATACACAAGTTTTCTAAAATGTACAAATATATGATTCTCATTCCCTTGTACACTAGTGAAGAAATATATATCATAAAGAACTTTAGGAAAATATGAATATTATTAAAAATTCTTCGATAAGTTGATTTTTGCAAAACAAAAAATAGCCAAATATTATTGTTTCACGACAATTGTTTAAAAAAAAAAACCTCTAATTCAAATTTTATATTTAATAGATTTTTTTTATTTCATAGAAAATTAAACGAGACTTCATTGTTAATGATTTTTGTCATTTTTTTTTTATTTCAATGTTTTAAGCAAAATCCAGGCATTAAAAAAAATCAATATTTTAATTTGTGTACCAAAATATGTTATTGCATACATTTCAACATTGTATAGCCGCCAATATTTATCGACAGAGTTATCGGTCCTGAATAGGACTGATATAGTTGGGTATGCCCGAAAAAGACAAAAAGACAAAGCACAACACGGAAAACTAAAGAATGAGCATCACGAACCCCACTCAAAACAGGGGGAGATCTCCGGTGCTTCGGAAGGCCGGTCGGCAGATCCTGCTCCACAAATATCTCAAAATCAACAAGACTAGTAATATAAATAGTTCTTTATTAGTATCTTCTTTGAACGATCTTTTTATCTTATTTTTTCAGATCTTGGAATTAGGTGATTGAAGAGTACTGGACATGTCATTTATGCATCAAATATTTCGGTTACAGAAATCTGTCTACTCATATAGCAAATGTTTTAACATTATTAGCAAGGAGATTACACATAGTAAATTTAAATACTCCCGTTTGACATACGATTATTCAACAGATGTCAAAATATTTGAAAATAAACCAGTAATTAAACTGTTCTTATTACTAAGAGTGTATTGTTTTTAACATGTGAAATGAAATAAAAAAATTAAATTGTTGAAAAAACTTGATGATATAGCGGGTCCAAAAGGCAAATTTAAACTATGAACTCTGTCTAGGGTTGGTAGTGTTAAACCAATATATATGGTACATAGGTCATACATGGAACTTGGGAACAGTATATCTAACAATATATATGTTCCTGATGGAACCATAGAAATTTTATTATCATAACCGCGGTAGATAAAGTGTCCGTTTTGGATCGTGTTTTTTTTTCAAGTGAATTTTTTCGTGTAAATATGATGCAAAATGTAAACAGGTACCTTTTCTGGTAAGGCGTAAAACCGAAGCTTTGAATGGATATAAAAGGTATTTAAGTATAATGTGATAAAAAGTAAGTTCCAACCACATATCATTTGAAGTTATACACTGAAGTTGAAAATATCCTTAGAATGCTTTTGATTCCAACATTTGAAATGAAGCCATTTTTATTATACATATACGAATGTACAAATCAAAGATAATGCGTTCATAGAATCTATATAATTTACATTTACAGATACTTTACAGAAGTACTTGTAATTGGATTAATTTTTATATGTCTGCGTTTTTTCGTTATTGTAGTCCGGATTTTTCAAGGAGCGTCCAGGGTTCACCAAGTGAATAAACAATATTTCTATATACAATTTGAAATGTCATCTATCATCGGCAATGCATTTACGTTACATAAATTGAAAAAAAGTTTTAAAAAAGTACTTAAAAAAAGAAGATATGCACAACAATAACTTAAAAAATTGGATACTGCTGTAAATACACATTCCCTTTTGTATAGTTTTACAAGTGTGTATTTGTGTGCCTTTTGACAGATTTTCATCAAATATATACAGGTTTTAAATCATCAATGTCTGGGTTTGTTCGAAAATCAGCTTTTACCAATACTTTTTCAGGAGTTATGTCCCTTAGAAATGTATTTTATTTTTAGAAAATTGCATTGTTAGCGCTCTCACATGTACAATTCTTGCCAGGTATTTATGGAATTTATATCAACAATGTCTCGGACAAGTTTGAAAATCTGCCGATGAATTATTTTAAAAAGAGTTATGCTCTTGGAAATATTTTAAGATATATGGAACATGCCATTGTAAGCGCTCTTAAGCCTACATTTCGATAAGATATTCATGAAATGTTTTTAAAGACAAGAAGGTTTTTATTTAGTCATTGTCCTTGGAAAATAAATATGTGCAACGCGGGGGCATTGGGATTCTGTTATTCTATTAAAAAATGGTCCATACAAATTATAAAACATCAATATTATCACTTTAATTTTGGTAGACTTTTACATGTGGTAAAGTTGAAATTCCCACCCTCTTCTGTGCATCTCTAGCTATGAAATGGAGTGTGGATAGCCATAAATAAAGGCAACAGTAGTATACCCTGTTCAAAAGTCATAAATCGGGCTACAAACTAAAACCGAGGGAAACACATCAACTATATAAGAGGAAAACAACGAAATAACAGAACACAGAAGTGCAACAAAAAAACAAACAACAATGCAACATTCATAGAAACGAAATATTTAATAACAACTGCCATATTCCTGACATAAAGTCAGAATTCGAGTTAAGGTTCGATTTAGAGTTTGAGTTAAGATTCGAATTATAATTGGAATTGGAGATGCAGGTGGAGTTAAAGTTCGAGTTAGAGTTGCGTTTCAAGTCACAATTTGAGTTGTTCGAGTAAGAGTCCGAGTTGCATTTGAGTGGTTCGAGTCATAATTTGAGGTAGAATCACAATTCGAGTTAGAGTTCGAGTTAAACTTGAGTAATAGTACGAGATAACTTCGAGTCAGAATTCTAGTTATTTAATTGTATGACATTGATTGAGTATCCCTAGTTGTAAGCATTGTCTTCCTGGTGATCGTATTAGTATATATGTTAGCTACATGGATTACTCTGTACAAAGGTTCAAATGAAGAATCTATAAGGACAAAAACATCTCAGTGTAGTGTTAAAGCTGTATATAAGGACCCAACACGATAGAACGTTTTATATACACACAATTTACAATGAAAGATAACTTGTAAGGAACAAGATGGGTATTGAAACAAAAAAATCGCAAAGGGTTCCACGGAACCTTGTGTCTCGCAAGCTGCCAGTGTAAAAGTGCAATGTTGGTGGTTAAAATGGTTGGTCTAGTTATAGAAAACACAGTAAACTGACATATATATATATATATATATAAAGGTTCTCCTGTAATGATTCATGTTTTTTTACGTTTTGAAGCTACATTGCAATGACAAACTAACGTTATTGGTGATTGATAGCTAATACCTATGAATGCTTATAAGGGCCATGTACTTGATAAATATGTCGAGATATATGACAAATTTAAATCGATTTGTTTACATATATTGCAACAAATGGATATAATATTTAAAAAAAATTTAAATCGATAATAATTTAACTCGATGTATGTTAAGTGAATATATTTTTTTTATCAATTTGTCGTAATAAAAGATCACCTGAAACGAATTGCATGTTCATGATTGCCAAAGAAAAACCGAAAAATAAAAATAAGAAAATAAGAAGATAAGAGCGAGCGAACGAACGAACGAACGAACGAATGAATGGACGGACACCATCACCGCCATAATATCCGTTTAAAAAGCATGCTTTGGGGTATAAAAATGGTACTTACGGGATATGATAACATATAACAACTGACGAGATTCCTGGCTTGATTTTCGAGACTCAACCCTTCCATGTTTTGTCCTCGGTCAGTTGAATAGCATAAGTTAGATATAAGAACATATGTGATATAATCAGTTTAAAAAAACCACGTACCTCTATAAAACCTGTGTTATAGACAGCAAATAAACACAATTAATAATGACAACATACGTCCTGATGACGTATCAAAGAATTTCAAAGCTGATAGTTTCTGTATGAAAACTTAATCTATGATTCCATCAAAAGTGGTAGAAAAAGCTTAACGAGGAAAAATATCTCAAAATAATGTCATTTTAATTTAATAATGTTAAATTTTTTAATATTTCCATACCTTTGGAATTGCTCTTCTATGCGCTTAAATCTTCAAAGTAAGTAATTTCTAACATTTACGTCATTTGGTCTCTAGGGAATAGGTGTCTCATTGGCAATCATGCCACATTTCCTTATTTCATATATGAATAAAAGTGATGTTTGGTATACGTCAATTAGACAGCAACTAAAACAACACACAAAACAGCATCTAAATCTCAAAATATGGTCTGCATTCTATACAATATGTCAAGCTTTAAACTACATAGAGTCTAAATAAAGTGAATAATTCCAGCAGTGACTACGTAGATCTGCCATCAGCACCATTTTTCTCAAATTACGAAGACAAGATATAACAAAAGAGAACAACTAACGATGACACGGATGTGGATTGTATTTCTTTTAGATTCATAGTTATTTTGCCATACTCAACGTTTGCCCATAAAAGTATTTTGAAATCGAAAATAAATCTTACTCGAACTTTGGTTCCAATTCTAACTAGAACTCGAAGCATAACTCGAACTTCAACTCAAACTATATATAATTCGAACTCTAACTCAAAGTTGAACTCGAACTTGATCTCGATGGCTAGCAATCTAATTAAAATATAGACCCCTGATTTCGTTATCCTCGTAAGAGTTCGAGCAGGCGAGTTGATATAGGTTTGAATTTTAATCAGATTCGAAGGCTAGCCGCATTCATGGAGATGCATGTACACTTATAGGCATTGATAAATTTCTATCATGCAAAATAATTTGTACATTTTCTAGCTTATATAGTTGTCAGATAAAAGCGTTTGTAGGGTACTGTATATGCAATATAACGTTCATTATTGACTGTAACCATGGTAACATTTACATTGGAATAGTTTACAGCTATATTGGACACACATTAAGTTGTTACTGATGGTTTTACGAGTGTGCACCTTATCATTAATTAGATCAGATTAATTAAGGTGTGGATATTTTCAACAATTGAAGGTCCAACTCAAATCCAGCAGCATCAACGTTTTAAGTTCTCTAAAGATGTACATTGTAACCAAATCCTCCAAGGTAGAAATAACGTCAATAGCAATGCTTTGTTTCAAAAGCGAGGGCATAATTTAAATTGGTCGGTAGTTACCTATGCCATTTTATTAATTAAAACACTTTTAAAAGTTAAAAATATTTTCGAGTTCTCGTAAAAGAAATCTCAACCTTTGATCAGTTATGCTGAGGTTAATTGATTACGCAATAGAAGTGGCGTTTAATTCTGAATACAACTTAAGGAAATAAGGCAGCATGTTAATATCAATTACTTCCTAATATAGAATTGTGACTAATAATATTTTTGATAAAAGTTAATGCGTTCAATTCAAGATGGATAAGAAATTTCGATTAAACATATCAATCAAGTTTTTTTCTTCAATACTGTTAAATGTTGATATAATTAGTTGACATATATCCAATTTAGAGAAGAGCAAACGCATATACGTTTTCTATATAAGATATGGAGATGTCAATCTAATTAAAATATAGAACTCGGATTTCGTTATACTGCATACGATGCAGTATAACGAAATCCGAGTTCTATATTTTAATTAGATTGTGGAGATGTGGTATTATAACTTATGAGACAACTATCCAACATAATCCGAAGCAACTGAAGGTCACCATACGGCCTTCAACATTGAGAAAAAGTCACACCGTATAGTCAGCTATACTAGGCCCCTACAAGACAAAAGTGAAATAAACACAAAACAAATAAACCAAAAAAAAACAATCAAAATACAAAAAAACTAGCGGCCTGATTTATGACAAAGCAATAAACGGAAAAAAAATATAACAGACAGCAACAAATGAAAACACCTGAATTACAGGATCCTGACTTGGCCGGACAGGCAAATATAGAATGTGGTCGGGTTAAACATGTTTGTGGGTGCCCAATCCTCCCTTAACCTGGGACAAAGTGTAATAGCAAAACATATGCATAAACTTTACAATATCACATGGAAATGGTTTGACTAATTAGATTGGCACGGAAAAACCCCGACAAAAAAAACCCAACAACTAAAAACAAAAGACACAAAGTAGCGATCTAAGAATGATCATAGCTACTGAAAATATCAGACCATAGTGAGCAATGATTATATATGTGTTAGATACACCCCCGATAAGGTCGTTGTCTTTTATTTCAATAATAAAGGAAGGGGAGGGGGGGGGGGGTCAGAAATTTCACCTCATTTTATGATAAAGTATGATATTTTATGATAAAGTATGATAAATGCAGAATATCCATACATAAAAAGCATCATGGTGTCTGCATACATATTTATAATATAATAAGAATATGTGTGCTCGTTTTCTTAGGCTATTAATTGGGACAAGTCGTGCTAGAGGCTTCTTCAAAATCCAAATAATTTTGGCACTAATTTATATTTACATTAATGATTGTGATCAGCTACCTTTGGTGACTCTTGCTTTTGGATAACTGATTAGTATTTATGTCCGTGTGCATCAGCCACGAGGAGGACTAGATAATAAATTTTGAACATTCGTAAAGTACTTCAATATTCATGTTTATTTGATGTAGTGTATTTTAAGCACCTGCCCTTGGTGACTCCTGTATTTGGATATCTAAAATAATTGTTCATCTGCATCAGCCATGAGGAGGACTTACCTAACACAAGCTTATTTCATAATGGATATGATACTTGCTTATGGTGCATGGTCAACGAACACTGAACATAGGGTGGTTTATATGGTTATATTATTAACTAATATTATATTCCATATTTTACTTGTTTTTTTCGTTTGTATCATCTATATTGTAAACGTTTAATGTGTTAATCATGGAAATCTAATCTATAGATAGTATATATATCTCTATATACACCGCACCATTGCAGACTTAGTTAGCTACACGTGTACCAGACTTATTTTTAGATATGAAAATCCCCTTTTCTATTTTTACTTTCGGAAACTTCTCGAAACTGATGATATATGTCATACATCATTTGTATATTAGAATTGATTTCACAATTGCCAGTAACTTTTAACTATAAACATGGATAATACAATGTTAAATAGATTTTATGAAGACAATGTTAAAATGACAAGAGATGAGACAAGTAAGAATGTTGAATTTGTGATTCCTCTCGTCGATGATATTTTGCAGTACGTTCACGAAAGAGACGGGCGGTTTAAAATACAACCATTGAATGTTGGGAGTTATTATTCTCGTTTAAAAGTGTCCCGAGCAGACGAATTTGACTACAGTGTAGTGGTCGATATTGGTTCATCTCTCGTCTGGACTACCGGAACGCCGGCTTATTATGGATATAACGGAAACAAAGAAGTGGTTCGTACATCGATTCCTCTGCCTTCAGCTCCAGCAGGAAAATGCTTTACACAGTTAAAAGGTCTGATACAAAAGTGGGATAATGAACGTTTAAATGAAGGACTTGCTTGTTTGACAATTGATGACCATATCATTCCTATAAAAGTTAAAAGAAGATTTAAAGCACTCGTCAGTGAAGCTGTGAATAGACCAAAAATACGCCAATATGTCGACGCGCAAAGATTATCTGAATCACCTGCCGCTACATTGACGATTCGGCATCCCAAAATTGCAGGAGAGACAATAAGCGTTGATCTCGCACCTCTTATTGAAGGACACCTTTCATTCAAACCAGAGTTTGGTTGGCCCAGATCAGGGTCGAGATGGCCATCCCGTACAAAGATTGAAGAGATAAAAACCGAAGGGATCCACGAAGTTGCCAAAGATCCATTTTATTGGTCTTTATCATTCGTCATATGTGAAAAGAAATTGCTAGATGGCATTGATTCAAATGGAACCTGCCGTAAAAAGAGTCAACGCATTATGAAAAAACTTCGGGAGAAGTGGTGTCCGAAAGGATATAAACAAGAACTTACTTCGTACCATCTCAAAAATATCCTTTTCTGGGAATGTGAAAATCATCCATATGATGCAGAATGGACTAATGAACAGCTTTCTGTGAGAATTGAGTCCATGTGTTACCTGATCATACAACACATACAGCGTGGCAACCTACCTCTGTATTTCCATACAGGGGTCAATTTGTTGGAGAATAAGGACAAAGACGTTCTTGGCCAGGTTGTTCAGAACATATTTAGGTTTTTGAAAAACCCGGAACATTATTTAACATAGAATTTGTTGCGAATCTTTATATAATTTGAATTAGCATACTAGTATGATATTTGTATTGTCAATTTTTATCGAGCGCTATACTTCTGTTTGAATATTAAAATTAAATCTTGATAATGTCTTCTTTTTTGTAATATTATAACGGTACAGAAAATTAAACAAAACAAAATATATCACTTAACAAATTATAAAATTCAGTAAGCACTATTTTGTATAAATAGTCTACACAAAAAATGTTACTAACGCTGAATATACTAAGTGCTGAAATGGATGTTTCGAACATTCTGTAAGTAACAACCCTTAACAAACTCTCCGTTGATCGGTTCTACCGTGGACGACACTCATATATTCCCTTTTCTTCTTGGTGTTACTTCTGTATGGATTCATTTTGAATGAACACTTTATGAATGCACCTCAATCTCTATTAGATTCTCATTAGAATTCTTCTAATGTAGAAAAATAAAAAAAAAATTCTACAATTTGGAATATAATAATATCCGTTATTAAAGATACATTCAGTCAACTTTGCAAAAATATGATTTTCGATTAACTTTCGCTTTCACTTACAGTTGTCAAAAAAGAAGTGAAAGTAAAAGTAAAACTATGAATTTGTCTTACAACTTTAATACCCCGTCACTTACAAACGAACACAAAATTTTGATTACATGAAGTCATAGCTAGTACATGAAGCTCTAGGCCTCTATGTTTAATTAGGTTTGCCATCACAAATGCAAACTACGATGAAACTATATATTAAATTTGTTGAAAGAGATATTTGGTGAACTAGATGAGATTGTCAGCATACAAATGGGGGCATTAATAGAAATCCCATCTACCAGAAATACTTTAGTTCCGAGATAGTCTGTTTTTCAATGTCCGATTTTATTTTACACATAATTACACCTTATATAAGAATGCCGGATTTTGATTGGTTGTTAGCCAGTGTATTTTTCGCATATTCTAGCATGTTTTCCTCATTTCAAACGAATTTGCCTGTTTTTTCACCACTGCCGGTGAATTTGCCTCAAATTCCCCTCTCTGTCGTGGTATTTGCCATTTAGGATATTCCTTTTAGCTCACCTGGCCCAAAGGGCCAAGTGAGCTTTTCTCATCACTTGGCGTCCGTCGTCCGTCGTCGTCGTCGTCCGTCGTCGTTAACTTTTACAAAAATCTTCTCCTCTGAAACTACTTGGCCAAATTAAACCAAACTTGGCCACAATCATCATTGGGGTATCTAGTTTAAGAAATGTGTCCGGTGACTCGGCCAACCAACCAAGATGGCCGCCATGGTTAAAAATAGAACATAGGGGTAAAATGTAGATTTTGGCTTATATCTCTGAAACCAAAGCATTTAGAGCACATCTGACATGGGTAAAATTGTTTATTAGGTCAAGATCTATCTGCCCTGAAATTTTCAGATGAATCGGACATTCTGTTGTTGGGTTGCTGCCCCTGAATTGGTAATTTTAAGGAAATTTTGCCGTTTTTGGTTATTATCTTGAATATTATTATAGATAGAGATAAACTGTAAACAGCAATATTGTTCAGGAAAGTAAGATCTACAAATAGGTTAACTTGACCAAAATGGTCAGTTGACTCCTTAAGGAGTTATTGCCCTTTATAGTCAATTTTTAACCATTTTTCGTAAATTTTTGTTATCTTTTACAAAAATCTTCTCCTCTGAAACCAGCAATACAAATTTAACCAAACTTGTCCACAATCATCATTAGGGTATCTTGTTTAAAAAATTTGTCCGATGACCCCGCCCGCGAACCAAGATGGCCGACATGGCTAAAAAATAGTACATAGGGTAAAATGCAGTTTTTGGCTCATATCTCTGAAACCAAAGCATTTAGAGCAAATCTGACAAGGATAAAATTGTTCATTAGGTCAAGATCTATCTGCCCTAAAATTTTCAGTCCAATCAGGCAACACGTTGTTCGGTTGCTGCCCCTGAATTGGTGATTTTAAGAAAATTTTGCAGCTTTTGGTTATTATCTTGAATATTATTATAGATAGAGATAAACTATAAACATCGATAATGTACAGCAAAGTAAGATCTACAAATAAGTCAACATGACCAAAATCGTCAATTGACCCCTTAAGGAGTTATTGCCCTTTATAGTAAATTTTTTACAATTTTCATAAATTTTGTAAATTTTTGTAAATTTTTACAAAATATTTTCACTGTAACTACTGGGCCAAGTTCATTATAGATAGAGATAATTGTAAGCAGCAAGAATGTTCGGTAAAGTAAGATATACAAACACATCACCATCACCAAAACACAATTTTGTCATGAATCCATCTGTGTCCTTTGTTTAATATGCACATAGACCAAGGTGAGCGACACAGGCTCTTTAGAGCCTCTAGTTTACCCTCGTGAGCCTGTTCCTGCCAAAATTATTCGGAACCTTTCTCACTTTATCCCGACAACATGGTTAAGCACTATTGATTGAGTTAAACCGAAAACTGTCAGAAATATACATATAAAGAGGGGAAAAAATGTTTATACAAATGAACGATTTAATGATGGAATAACAATGACGTTTACACATATAGATACCATGACGTTACAAAAAGACAACACTAACGCATATAAGTACATGTATAATTCCCGCGGTACTACGATTTCCCTTCACATGTACAGACAGTTTCAATCAAAATCTATTCGGTGTAATTAAACAGATATATCATGCTATGGAGGGGTATTTGCGAAAAATACCAGTCTTGGGACCAAATTTCCCTCGCCTAGCGGCTTGGGAAATTTCACCGTCCCTTGACTGGTATTTTTCGCAAAGCCGCCAAGCTGTAATTCATTAATATGTTTATGCATAATTTTGACGAAATGAGGATATTATCATAGAACCGCGGGAATTATACATGTACTAATACGCGTTAGCTCGCTTTTTTATGTAACGTCATATCCGAAAAATTTTGGCGGGAAGATGCTCGAGAGGGTAAAAAAGGAATATCCAAAATGGCAAATACCATTACTGTGGGCACCAATTGCACCCTTTAATACAACAGACTTGTTTCTGTATTGTTATAACAATGTATGGCCAAACTCAGTAAAGGTGCGTCTACGGTAATCCCCAATTGATGATGGGAGTTTTTAACGCACGGTCGGTAAATCCCCGATTCTTTTTGTTCTTTGTGGTTTATAGATATCACGTGACTTTTTAGATCGAACATGCCGACAAGATGGCGATATGTCGAGAACTGATAGTGAATTTCAAAATCGATTTTGATCTCTTTACATAGAGAATAAAAGTTTTTTATTTATGAACATGTGGTTTTTTATGCTTAAAGAACAAAATATCAATTTTTCATTTTTTTGCGGAGTTTCCCTTTAATTGATAAATTTAAAAACACTTACCGTTAAATTGATGATATTTTTGCTTTAAATATTCAAGAATTTTCAAATTTTACTGCGGAAATTTACCCAAAGGAACTAACTTTAAATAAATCTGATACAGACAGCAATAAGTGTTCTTTTCTAGATTTGGATATTTCAGTTTCACAATGGAAACCAAGAATTTAGGATAAAAGAGAAATTTTTTTTGTTTCTTATTGTTAACTAGATTTCAATGAACGTTATTCATGTGTAACTGATTTATCATGTCAGATATTTCGTTACCATAAATTAATTAAAACTTTGAATGACATTTTTCATATTTAAAATACATACATTTGGTTGTGAAGTTTGTCTCATAAAACATCACAAATTTTAAGGATTTCTTGATTTTACTTAAATCAATCCAAATATTCTACAGGAAAACTTGGTTTTGAAGAATATCTTATTTTCAGAAGTTTTATGAATACCTGAACATACTCTCAAACGAAACAATTTATATAAAAAGATATGTAGATATAAAAAGATACCAGGATTAAAATGTTATACGCCAGACGCGAGTTAAGTCTACAAAGAATCATCAGTGACGGTCGAATAAAAAAAGTTTAAAAGGCCAAACAAAGTACGAAGTTCAAAGGAATTCAGGACCCACAATTTCGAAACAAAAGTTTTGCCGAATACATCTAAGATAATCTATTCCTGGGGTAGAAAATCCTTAGCATTTCGAAAATGTCAAAAGTAATAATATGAGGCAGGCGTTACCTGTGAAAGGGGACGAAGTCTGTATGAATAATTTTTTTTTAATTCAAACATATTTTAACTTCAAAATCTGTTCAAAAAGAAACGGAAATACCCTTACGTTTCCGATTTCGGTTCTGTTGTTCGGAATTTTAGTTGTGACGTTATGTATGTTATGACGTCATATTCAATGTAAACAAAGAAACGCTATCAGGTAACGTTTTTTCATATCAAGCCATTCAAGGAATTATTAAAAATGGAATTGGTATTGCGTTCCTTCCTATATTTTACTAGACTGATAAATATATATTTTACTCAAAGACTCATGCAAACGAGACCGGAAAAAGGAAGTAGATTTCTGCGCAAATGCGGGAAAATAAAAAAGTCTGAAAATAAAAAAGTTAACGATTTTGAGGTCATTAGAAGAATGAACATTTCGGGAAATTTTCCCAATTTTTTTTTTTTTTTTTTTTTTTTTATTGATTTTTCTACTGTAATAGGGGACTTCGTCCCCTTAATAGGACAGTGACTCAAAAAAGAAAAGAAAAGAGAAACAGCTAGAGGTCAGAATACCGAAAGTTATGATGACCGTGCTTAAAAGTCACATGCCAAGCTCTTACTGCCGTGTCCTGAATTTAGATAAGAAAAGCGAAAATTCACATTCGCGAGTGAAATCAATATTTATGCACGTTGTATTTTTGCGCAAGAAATAGTAAATAGAAAGCATACGCACTGATACTCTGGATAAGAATACGCATTTGCGTCATCACATATATTAATCTAATAGTTGAATTCGGATGTCAACTTACCTACCTCCGGATTCATTTTCATTCAATCCGGAGTTTGTGTTAAACCGATAGTGTGCTTGTGAACAGGGTGATATATAATGTGAATGAACTAAGACGTGTAGGATAGCTGGTCAACACAATGAATAAACTTTTCCAATTCGTACCATAGTGCAAATATTAAGATGCTATAATGTTAAACTATTAAAACAAACAAACAAAAAAAGTATTGAAATTTG